ATCATTCTACAAAAAAATATTCAACGAATTGGGTTAAGTGCTGAAACGGTTATTTGCTATAGAGTGCTTTATAGCTGACAAAATAAATGTTGAACATTTGGAAATTTTTTGTGTTGTATTTAATCATTTTTAAAACTTTTTTAATAAATGCATGTATATAAAGCATTATACATAATAGAAAATAATAGACGCATTATAACAAAGAGACATCAAATGTTTTAAACTTAAAAATGGCCAAGTATTTATGTAGAATGTTAACTCAATGTACAATGAGACCGTAATAAAGAAGTGCACTCACGATTTGAAACGCCAAGAACCAATTTTACGAAAATGAAAAAGTTTCTATATTCCCTAGAATTTCAAACAGATGACTTCGTACGACACCGTCTGATATAACGAATTAAATCACATATAAATCATTATACTATAATATTACAGAAAACGATTAATATCGGCTATTCTAAATCCCCGATGTAAAAAAAATTGCTATTTAGTTTTTATTTTTAAAAAGGGTTTTTCGAACAGTAATGAACTACAACAACAAAAATTTTATTTTTTATATTCTTTTAATTAATTGAATTTTTGGCTGACCATACAGCTGTTTCGAGTATTGCCAAATACCCTTCATCAGTAGACTTGGTAATAATTCTTGTATTTAATTATTCGAAAATAATTTTTTGAGACCGCAAATACCAGGAATCGAACCCATGCCCTGCCAGATATGAAGCTCAGAGTCAGCGCTCTTAACCAACTGACCCAAAGTCGTACTTGACTTTTATGTTTGCACAGTTTTTATTATCAATTTTACTTGCTGTGTTTATATTAAAACGAAATCATAAACCAGCTGTAGAATAATTGAATTAATTAATTAATTATATTTTTTATTTTTAATTGTTAAATTTCAAAACTATTCTGTTTGTAGAGGCATTATTTGTTGCATGATTTGTTCTTTCTTATGTATAGAACCTAATCTAGTTTTTATTTTTATCTAAATACAATTGAATCAAAAAACGAGAAAAAGTATATTGATTTGTATTCGTATTAATATTACTTAAATTTTCACAAGTTTTGATTTTCACAGCTATAAGATTATTTCTCAAAACAATGCTGGAACTAACAAACTCTTAGGGAAATGTAGAACCATTTAAGCTATTAAACACCACCAACAACTTATTTAATCAAAAGTAGGTCAATAGTTTTGATTTTTAATTATCTGTTTTTTAAATCTTTTCTTTTAAATAATAAAACTAACTTTTGTGGGAAAAATGTCACTTTAGTTTATTTATAAAAATTGGGTTTAATATGTTGAAATCTGGAGTAGTTGCCTTTGAAACTAATTAAAACTACTAAAAAACACATAAAACAATATTTTATTTGTATCGTAAAATAAACACTGTTTTTTTTGGTATTGCATTAACCTGACTTAAACCCCGACAAACACCCAGCTTAGTAAATCAAAAACGACCAAACTTAATGGAACTTCAGAATTTCATAACTCATATAACTTGTGTGTTATATCTGTCATCTACATCTGTGGTATTGCTAATATTTTTTTGATATAACATTCAATATATTTTTATATTTGGACTTAAAGGTTGGACTTAAAGGTTTTAAGAAAAATCCATTCATTTTATAATTTTTTCTTGGTTAATCTGTTTGATCGATTGGCACGCGGGAATTATAATTCCTTTTCAATTTTGCATAGCTTAATAAAAATTAAAAATTTTTCATTTATATTCTAGAAAAAAAAGCAATTTTTTTTAACTTTAGTTTCACTTAATCCTTTGTGCATTTATCAGCAGCAAATTGCGCATGAAGCATTCGTTGCATTTTTTCAACCATTTTTTCCTTCTGGAAATAAAACTAAACTACTTGCATTCCTCCTGCTAACAATTTAAAGTTTGCATACAACTGCACGGTCAATTGAGCTAACAGATTGAATGAATGTCATGATTTGGAAATAAAAATTTTCGAAACTTTGTGCCAAGGATAAAGTTTTAGCGTTGCCACACTATTTTGTTGCATAAATCACACCTCAAAGCCACAAGTTTCCGAACTTAAGTATCAAAAATTTCTCCTTCCTCGCAATTGGCTTAAAATTTCATAGGATTTTGCGAATTATTTCGAAAAAAAATTCAAGTAAGGAATTTAAACGAAAATTGCTTTAAAGCTGGTAACAGAAATTTGCAGTAAATATTTCGGAACTGAATTTTCCTAACTGACTGTTAAATATGAAAATCCTTTTAAGAATTTTAATGCTTAAATTTGTCACTTTTTTTATATTCCCGAATTTTGTGAGCTGTGAAAATCTGTTTAAAGTAGCGTAAAAGTAGCGCACTTAAACGCTAAACATCAAATATTCCACGAAATGTCCGCCTGACAGCCAGCAGCCAACAGCCAACTTAATTATTACCATTAACATTATTGTTATGATCATTTGAGCTCTGAAATCAGCTTAAAATTCCTTGAAAATAATAAAAACGTTAGCGATTCGTGCAAATGTGACTAATTTAATGGGTTTTTTGTACTTCTTCCCGTACGCGAGTGGTTCCATTTTAATATTATTTTTATAAGTGAATATATTCATTTTCGCTTAATTTTTACATATTTCTGGTTTTTTTCATCAGTATTTTATCTAACCCATTTCATAACACGATGAGAGTTCCAACTGTTTTTTTACTTTAAGAAGTCATGCAATGCATAACATATAAAATGTCTTTTGGGTGCAGACTAGCTTATCAGAATACACTTAACAAACATCGGGAAGACTTCGAAGATATTTCTGATATTTCGTTTCTTAATGATCTACAACATACCACCAACTTGCATTATATTCAAATATATACTTTTATTTGTATTAAATTTCAGATAACCAAGTAACCTGCAGGGGATGGAGTTTGAAATAAATCGCGGAAATTATACTTGACATACAATTTGTACTTGTGTGTGGCTCGTATTACAGACCTGTTCAAACCGCATATCTTCAATGGCACTCCAAACAAACTTGGT